TAATCTTCTAAATCAGTGAAATTCTGTGCAGCATTTTTTTTCTTTCCTTCACATTGTTTGTGAAGGAAATGTTTAATGCAGTTTAAAATTTGTAAAAACATAAATTGGCAGTATTATTTTGCAAACTCAGTTAGTGTTTATGTCAGGGAAAAACATAAATGAAGAAAGGGGCAAGTGTGGAAGTTTAGATGTACATAATGTTGGAACATTCATGACTACAGGATTGTACCATCAACTGGAGATCATTTCCTTTAGTTCTTTTTTCTATGATTTTTAGGAGTTGTTATGATTTGCTGTTGTGGAAGAAAGAACAAAAATCATACCTGGAACATTTCTAATTTTTCTGGTAGCTCTAAAAAATAATTGTAGCAACACACACACACACACACACAAAGCTCTTATAAATGTAATTTGAAAATTGCCATAGACTTTTGATGTCTAATTTTCTTGGTGTGGTATTACCAATGTCTGTTAAAGTCCCCAAACAGATATTTCTGTTGTAAACTTAAAGTGATCTTCAATACGCCAAGCATAGTTATCCTGTTTCATTACTCAGTAATATGAATGCTAAGACTTGAACTAGACATGATGCCAACATGCCTTTGTTGTCATGTTAGTATTTCTTCTTAAGGAATTCCTGTTTTTAGTCCTTGATTGTGAAGGTCACTTAAAATGTCTTTATGGTTTGTAATAACTTTTAGAAAAATCCATAAGTTGTTTAATAGCTGTGGACTTTCTACACAGGAAGTATACAATAAAGTCTCCTCAAGTGCCTATTGTCTTCTGATCGCTGTATTACTGCCCATGGCCTCTGCAAATTCAGTTCCTCCTCCTTTGTTGGTGCTTCCTCCATTTTAGAAAAATCACTTGACTCCAAAGAGCTCCCTCATGTCACTCTTTGCATGCATCATCCCTGCTTTTTCTCCCTTCCTGCTTTTCTGAGGGTAGCTGTTGTCCTTTACAAAAATGGGGATTGAATGAAGGTAGAACACAAATTATATGGAAGCAAAGGAAAACCAGGAATTTGTAAAGGACCCAGAAAGGAACGCATAATGAACCACAGTGGCCTTGATGAATTGCTGTAGAGGGAATTCTCCATTTTTTTCTCTTTCACACACACATGTACACACACACACACACACACACACCCAAGATTAACCTACGGCTCTGAAGCCTGCCTTAGACTGGTCAGGCCAGAGGGTTGAAGCCAGTAGCCTTCCAGATATGAATAGAAACAAATGTACCTTCTGACTACCAGTTAAGCATTCAAACATGCTGTTTTGGAACACAAGGTACTTTTAGTAGTTGACATCTCTTCATAATTCATGTTCATTGTTCCTCTAAGTAAAATATGTGTCTCCCTTTAGTTATTCTGTTAGGAATTGTATGTTAAAGGCAAGAGGACATTTTTGATAATGCACATCTTAAGACTTTTCATTAAAGTACCAAATTTAAATTCTACCTTTTTGTGCACTCTGACATTTTTGTCTGGCATTTTCATTAATTTTGCGACATACATAAATGTAGCTGAAATGTTAACTGATCAATACTTTGTCTCTCTCATGTAGCACTAGCGCTCCATTCCCCAAGGACCACACAGCAGAACAGAAATTAAATGTGTAAAATATCAAATGTTAATGTTAAACACAGCGGCACTTACTGTATAACGACAGAAAAGGCTAAAACAATTCCAAATGGACAGATGGTACCACAAATTATCTACAATCACATTTAAAGATTAAAGTTTGTCCTGTAAAATAATTCTTTGACGCACACTGAAGTGTGTCCTTTTACTGATAGCTCAGTTGTCCAATTATTTTTGTGCTCATTACAGTGAGAAATGACAGTACTGAAAAGAGAGAATGTGCACTTTTTTTTCCCTCCCATTTTGCACCCACGGACATCCACAAGAACACAAATGTCTGGTCAAGAGCCTGATGAAAATTAGGCCCAATTTATGAGATATTTCCACGTCTACAACAGATGATTCCCAGAGACAAGCAGTGCCTTCTGTACCACACACGTCTGTGTGCACTCTTAGGCAGACAATATTCATAGCAAAATTTAAAACCTACTTCATGGCACTCAAAAGGAAGGCCATTCCTAGAAATGCATTTGCTTATCTTTTACCGTCCCCTACCCATCTGGTTTCTGCCTCTACTGTCATCAGCTGGCTTTACCAGACCCCCCTGCCCCCACACACAGGTAGTATCGCAGAGGCTGCAGCTGCTCTCAGTCGGCATGTCTCCTGCTTTCCACGTTCACTGACGCTGAGACACAAAAATGATTGTTTTTCTACTTTGATTTCATTATTCTACATTTATTTTTGGAGAGCAAATCAGAGAAGAAAACTAAAATGGAATTAAAAAAAGACATGTAAACATTATAAAGTTTTCTGATCTGGGCCTAAAACCAAGCTGTACAATGGTACAAATGCATGCGCTCCACAAGGCAGCTGCAATTATGAAAAAGTGGGCCAAGTGGAACCAATATTATAATAATACACCCATGATCCATCAGGAGGGCATGATGGGGACAATATGTTTGTAACAATGGGGTACTGCTCATACTCTCCTAATGGAAAGCAGTTCTTTTCAATAATTTGGCCTACAAAGGCTCCGGTTATGCAATGAGATCTTTGAAACATTTTGTTTGTATATACCTCATTTAATTATCTACAAGATGAAGAAAAATCACACAAACTTTTTTCAAAATTGTTATGACATTAGCATTGTAAGGTATATATCTTAAAGGTTCTTTTAGAAAGGAAATAATATCTACTGTGTGGCCTAGGATAAGGTTCTTAACTTTTCTGTGCCTTAGTTTTTTCCCAGTATGCTGGGAAAATAATGGTATCTACCTCATAAAGTTGTTGGGAATATTAAATTCACTAATACACAAAAACATTTTAATGTATTTATGTGTGAAAAACAGTTCTTTGGCACACAGTTAGTGCTTAATAAATATTAATTCTTATTATTTTTTATGAATTTTTATATCATAATTTAATCGTGGTTAAATAGACAATTGATAAAGGATAATGAAATAGTTTAGAATTCAAATGGAAACTATATGGAAAATTGTTACCACAGTATTAAGCTGTGTTTAACATGATTTAATAACTGGCTTTCTTAGAGCAAACCCTTATTTATCTGGCATCATTGAAAAATGAATTGCCCCACAGAAGAATAATTTGCACATTGATGATTGATTCATTGGTAGAGCAAGTGATTTAGGAAGCAGTTTATATGGGAGTATACTAACTGCTGGACCACAGGATGAAAAAGACAAGGTTCCTATTCTCATAGAACTCCCAGTTCAAACTAAATAGATGAAGTTTGGTTTTGTGAATATAATTTAGTTCTTTCCCCCAATGAAACAGTTAATATTATTGTTTCTTCTCAAAAGTACTCTTAATGTGTGCTCACATTGTGGTCTCTGACCTCTTGTTTCACCCTCCATATTGCAGGCCCTTTTTCTATCTTTGTTATGCTGGCAACCCCTTCTGTGCAAGCTTGTTGCATTCAACTTGTGTTTCATAGGGCTGAATCTGTTACAAATATGCCACCATCTAAGAAAGACATTACTACATTTCTTCTCCAGTGAAGTTTGCCCCCTTTCAGTGAAATCACTCAAATAATATTATGTACATGGACCTAACTTTTTGGAGGTTTCTTTCCTTTTTTAAGAATCAGAAGGAAATTGTGAAAAGGGTCACCATTTTGAATTCATTTTACATGAGTGACCCCAGAAGCCAGAAAAAGTTTATGAAGACTTGTGTAACACATTGTAATGCTAAAGAATTCACAATGAATGTTCTTGAACGAATGATAGAATTATATACATTTCTCTGTTTTTCTCAAATATCACAAACAGTTGTGGTGAATGGCTTTAGAAAGAGTGAATCAAAAATGGCAGCATGACCTTTTCAGTAGAATTTTATTGCTACTGTAAGGCCTCATAGAAACTGGAAGCACGGATATAAAATATATATAGAAACTCAATATAATTTTTTCTTATTCACATCAAAGTGTCTCTGTTAGTGAAAAATCAGAATAAAGTTTGTTCAACAATATTCCAATACATTTATTGTGTGAAAAGGCTACTAAAAGAGTATTGAGAAAGGGAATTTTTTTTTTCCCTGAAATTTGATGATGACAGTCACTTTCTTTAAGGAGACAACATGTCTATGGGAAGCAGGCTGCCTAACTTTCTGGTAACTTACAACACAAAGGGACATGCACACTCTTTGTTCATGTGCTCAGACATTAATGAAAGTCCCATACAAGGCCTGAGAGGAGGACAGAGCTCCAAGTACTAAACAGATGTGCATACATTCATTTGAATGGTAATACTAAAATGTTGGTTTGTTACTATAATTAGGGCTCTTCTTGTAAATCCTCATAATAAAGTTATATTTTGCTAAACTGGCAACTACAAGAAAGTATAAGGTCCTTATATTCTAACAAACATGGTGAGCATAATATAAAGGATTTAAAAAGACAGACCCTACTTAAACTTCAAACTAAAATACTGAATGAGCAAAAATAATTTGTGAGCAGAAAATTCCAGATAAAGCTCAGAGGAAATTATCTTTTTGGGTTTTCTGGCTCTGCCAGTTGGTCTCATCAGCAGTTTTCAAATAATAAAAGTAAAAGGCTACAAGACGAGCACTGTTAGAGGACTATTTCAATTGATCAAATTCTCACTTGTGACTTTGTAAAAACTGGAAACCTCAGAAATAATAAAAGATCTCTTAAACAGGTCATATCTACGTCCAATTGATTCACGTATTAAAGTGTTACCAACCAACATTCTGCTGCCAATGATATCCATATTTTGGAAAAAAAAAACTGCAAAACTACAGAATGAATAAAATCAAAGTGAGGATGGTCAAGATGATTACTATTATTACTTTTTTTTCACACTGGCTATCCATTTGGGATTTGGAATTATGCAACATGCAAAATTTTACTTTTTAAGTGTCACAGAGAGAATTATACATTGGCTGAGATGTCTTGCATTCCGGAAATCGGAGGGCTGGGGGTATATTCTTGGACTCAGACCTTGAACAATCCAGCAGGTTCCTGCCCACGGCAAATCTGTCCAGTCATCTTTTAAAATAGGAGTTTTAAAATGGCCACATTGACATAACTGTTACTATAGCCACAGAAACATGCAGCTATGATTACTGAATTTAATGAATAACAATGTAAGTAATACAGTATGAGCATACCACAAAAGCAGCAAGACTTCTTGGGGGTGAATCCCAATCAAAGCAACTATTAACGTAGTATGCAGCATTTACAAGCACCATGACACAACGTTTCATTCTGATAAAGTTTCTCAGTAGTAGCTGTAAGGAAAAAGACAGTATTATTAGAATTTATAAGACTAAAAATGATCAGATATGCTGCAAAATTCTTCAAGCTTATTGTCATGTGAAAAGGATTTATAAAGTTAAAGTTGCATGGACATACCAAGCAATTTGGGTCAAAAGTTAAAGAAAAAGGGTTTGTGAAGAAAGTGGAGAACTGACTCAAACAAACAAACAAAATGCTTTCAGCATTTTACTAGGATTTATTTCTTTCTGTCATATACCCCCTCCGCACAAACATACAATTTAATTTAACCTGCATTTTATCATTATTTTCTCCATAATTTTAGAGTTTGGGAAAAATTTATCATAACTAGGTACCTATATTAAAGAATTGATATAATTTAAAGTTTAAAACTCTAGCATGACTTCAATGGTAAAAAGAATACCCTGTGCACTAAGTAATGGTTCAAAAAACTACATATAGTGCATTAATAGTTAGAATAATCCTATGTCTACAGTTTAATATTTTATTATTCCAAATATACTTCAATGCTGACCTTGTATTTTAAAGAAGTATTTATCTAAAGTTTACTGAGTTCATATGACAAAAAGTATATATATATATATATATATATATATATATACATATATATACACACATACATATATATACATGCATGTATGTGTATACCAGTTTTAACACATCACTAGAACTGAAATTCCATTCAGGCAAATAAAGCACCTCCCTAGATGTTTTCTTTGTTGGCCCCTATCACCTTCCTTTCAAGAGGAATTTTTATTATTTTTATCTATAACTGTGGAGAAATATAAATTGCATTTCTATTTCAACATATTATATTTATAACACACTATCTTTAAACATCCAAGACTCCACTGTTTATGACAATTTATATCATTAAAAATTAAAATGCTTTTACGTTTCTAACGGCACAGAAAATTATCAAATATTTGGAGGTGAAAATAAGTTCAGTAAACTTTATAGCCACAATAAGTACATTTTATTTTAGCTCTGTTAATTGAATGTAAGAATTTTTTTAAAAAGGGCTTAACACTTTTCTTAAATTGATATCAAACCAAATTTAAAATTATAATTGATCAATATCAAGCTTAATTTCTCCTCTGTGATAGAAAAATCAGATTTCTCTCTTTCTTAGCAAAAAATGTCAATGAAAGTTCATAGTTAAAATCTAATTAACAAGAAAGTTTCCCTTAAAAGATGCAGCCTCTCTCACTGGATTAGAGAGAAGAGCTTTATTCGGGGCTCCATTTACACACACCTGCATCATACCTGTGGGTGGTCTGCACATGTATTTGGACCTCAGTTCTGGTATTCTTATTTACACACTCCATGGCAATCAAATTGTATTTTATGTTCAAAATGATCATTCTTTTACTAACACACCACTACGTATCCACTATATTCAGCACTTACAGAATCCCCTTTCTTTTCTGACCACCCCCGTCCAATTTATTAGTTTGGTATTGTCCTTGTTTGATCTTTTAAAGAAAGGAAGAGAGAAAAAGAAAGAAAGGGGGAAAAAAAAGAACCATTTTCAATAAGTAGATGACATAAAGTCCATCATTTTCCCCCCTCCACACCTGCAAAATTTATTTGAATTTACTAAGATGTTTTACAGATACAATCAGGTCTTCCCAGAGGGATTAATCTTTCTTTGTTTTTTACCTGTTTAGAGAGTCTGTTTTCCTCTTCAATGTACTTCTGTTCTTTGGGAATTAATGTTCGTAAGCTGGCTTTCACCTATACATCAACATATGTGTCTGTTATGGATTAATATATTACAAATGTTTATAAGTTTTTCATGAGTTCAATTTGCAATAATTTCTAAAGTTTCAAAGTCTTGGCTGCTGTGCTCATAAAATATAAATGTATACAGTTGCACATGCATGCGTTTCCCTCTCTTAGGAAGGCAGGCAGCAGCCACAGCAGCAGTCGCCAACTATAACAGAAAGTGTGGGTGTGCCAGGCAGTGGCAGAAGCGTATTCTCCAGGATACATCAAGGTTTAGAGAAAATGAGGAATGACAGAAATTCTCTACAAATCAGGAACAAAAGCTTTCATGAAACTGAACTCTTTAGCAGTACAAAAAAGCCAAAGTTAAGACTTACAGCATTAAAAATCACATCTATTTCAAGATAGATGACCCCCTTTGTTGGCCCTGTCAGCTGCTTGTTTTTCAAGACGTAGGCTTTCTGTTCACCATTTTGAATCTGCGGGAAAAGGACATGACAGCCGTCTGTCTCCCGGTCTCCACTGAATACACTCCCTCAGTGACCTTTGACCCCCAGCTGCTGAAACTGACAGAGAACCCAAAACAACTGTGGCAATTCTGACAAGTACCTGTTCATTACCAGGATCAAGTCTGTCAGGAAAAATTAACTATCATGGGATTCAACATGGCCGTGAATTGAGTATGTTAAAATTTTTAGTGTTCTTATTACAGACCTTGGGTGAGAAATGACAGACATAGAGCTGAGGGTTTTTTTTTTCTTCCTTGAGCAAAAGCAACACAGAACAGTGTGTCAGGTGAATAACACTTACAGACAGCAATGGTATGGCAACTTTGCCCAGAAAGTCAGCACTTCGATCCCGATCTTCGTCATAAACTGTCACTTCAAGAACTGAATGGATATCTTTAACGTTGCTGAATAATCAACATAATAAGAAAAAAAGATTTCATCAGTAGGAAACAAGAGCTTGAATGTTTTTGAAAATTCAGATAGCTCCAGCTGATTTTGTGTGTATTTTTATGTGTGTTATTTGCATATATACATATACAGGAAATTATGACAGAATTTCCCATAATGCACTGTAGTTGACTACATTGATGGCTCTATTATCTGGAACTTTGAAGACCATTGTAATTTCAAGTTATAACATTTTAAGGAGATATAATTTCCCATCTGGGTGGGCAAAGAATAAGTTACTGAAAAAAATCAATAAGTAGCTCTGGTATTTTTAGATTTTTCTTATCTTCCTTTTACAACAATAAATCATATCTTCCCATAATCCCACATAAAACAGCACCAGATTTTATACCAGCAAGAGTCATAGTATATTTTTTGTAATTATTATTTTTTCCAATAACAGGACACTTCCTTTTTGTTTACAGCTCTCATCAGAACATTGATTTAGTTTGTTAGATTTATAATAAAAATGAACAGACACAGAGAACAGAATGGAGAAAAATGTAACATTTATAGCTATTGTACCACACTGAAATTTAGAAATTAAATAATGTTCCATTATGCTTCAATGACAAGATATGATAATAAATAATTGTGTAAGTTCTTCATATTTTTATTTCTGGAAAAATAAGTACAAATCATTGGCAGCATGTATTCTTTGATCAAATTGCTTACCAAGAAAACATGAATTAAGAGAAAACAAAAACAATGGAATATATTCATTACTGGAAAACCACAACCACATGTAAAAAGAGGCTTTATCAGGGAACAATCAATTAATGGCTTTGATAATAATCAAACCTATTCACTCAATTATGTATTCCAGAGAAAAACACTCTCCACAACCTTTTTAGGAGTGCAAGTCTTCTGCACAGGCTTTCATCTCTCATAAAAATGTGGAATTCCTTAAAAATAAATTGGTCAGATAATTAAAGCTGATTAGTTACTGGCTCTTAAGCAGAGACATTATAAGGAATTAATGAGGAGTTTAGCAGTTTTTCATGTACAAAAAATAAAACTATGTTAGAAAACTTTTAAGTACTTCTGTTTGGAGCGTTTTCCTTTGTTCAGAGTTCATTTCTAAAGCCCAGTTTTTAAAAAGCGAACTTAGGAGATTCTATAGTGTAGCATAGGCTACTTTTACAGTGTATGATTAAAAAGATTTACAAACCTTTTAAAACAAAAAGGGAAATTAACTCAAAGGTTGTTTTGATATCTAGGATAATACTTAATATTCTTATTGTGGTAAAATGAAACAAACCAAAACTAAAGCATCTGCCGAATTGGTGACTGAATTGTTTGCTGATTTCAGCAAAGGAACAAATAGAGCTTTGTCCTCCTTGGTGTCAATGCAATTGGGAAGAATTTCAATAGGAATTATAAAAGAAGAAGCAGTATGGAGATTCAGTTTATGGGAGCAAAACCCATTAAAGTCATTAAAAAAAGCACAGTTTAAAAAAATATTTGTGCAAAACAGAAAAATGTCATACTCCTTTGCCCAGGTTTGCTAACCACCATGCGAAGCCCATGGTGGTTAGCAAAGGCAGCAGATGTGTTGAGTTGTGACATAGTGAAGAATAAATACACACATACAATCTCAAGGAAAAATATAATTTCACAATGATCTGAAATGAGTTTAAGGTAATAGTTACTTACAATGTGAAGACTTTGTTCCACTCAGGATTGAGATTTTTGTAGACAGTATGTGTTAACAGCCTATCATTGTTCAGTTCTACTACACAAAATGGATCACTTTTACCTACGAGAGATTTTTGGTGAACATTTTTAGTATAAACTGCATCTGCCATTCAGTGTTATGATCATGACCACATGTCTTTTTCAAAAGGTTTTATAGTAAAAATTAAAAAATAAAAAGCTCATCAAAATAAAGTTAGATGTAACTGGATGATGTTAGCAATTGTTAGAACTTGAAAAAAATAAAGAACCAAATTATTTAGCTGGACTTTCAACTTGCAATTGTTAACAAAAATAATACAATAACTATCAATTATGAGAATGTGTGATGCATGTCCATCCTTAAATCAGTTTTTGTTTAATTCTGTAACACTAGTTAAAGTATTCAACTGCTTTAATCTTATGCTTATATTTTTCAGCTCATCTGATTCACAAAGTAACTTGTAACAGGAATTTCTAAACAAGTTTATTCTGAGAAAACCGCTATCTTACAGGATTAAAGTTTTATCTAAGTTTGAGTCATTTTCTCCCTAGATATCAAAAAAATCACAAGAAGGTAAAGTAAACCCTCTGAGGCAGAAAACATTTTGCCATTTGAAACTTACCATCAACAACCACTGTGTATGTTAAAGAGCACCAATTTTTTTTCCTGTTCACTAAAAGTAAGGGATTTGGAGGTTGTCATCTATTTACAACCATGCTTTGCCATCGTCAAATCTCATCTATTCAGCAATTATGTTCTGTGATGTTCTCAATATTATTGTAATGTCATATCCTGTATTGTAAGAACCCATAAAGTCAGAGGCTCTATGGGGGCAGCATTAGTGGTATGAGTACAGCATGTAATTTGTTTGATACCTTATACAAATGACAATGAAATCAATATTTAGACAAAGCTGTCCAGAGGTCATATCTTTCAAACTACAATATTGATTTAGACTACATAAGAGGTTAATGTGCATATTATTAACTTTAATGATAAAGAATAATTGTTTTAAATGCATTGAGAATTTTAGTCACTGCAGTTTACACTGGTGCAAAAGCTTAAGTATCATTGAAGATTTTCAATTAAATTTTAATGCGAAGGAATTTATTAGCCATCAGTGACAAATAAGCTATGTATTCCCACATAGCAGTATATTTACTTCCCATAGCATAATTCTTAAAATGATCTGTACAAACTTTGACTCACCTTTAATTTAGTTTGTTAATTTTATATTAAAAATAAGATTTAATATGTGTGTATTAGTTCAGGGGCCTCATATACCTCTGGATAATTGCATAATTTAACATTGTGATAGTGTTCTTAGTTTGGGGTCTTGGGAATCTTTTTCAGTAAAGAATAGAGAACTGGAAATTTTCAAGGTCTAGTTGAAAATTTGTTATTTCCCCCTCTCCTTCCACTTTATTCATTCCTCTTGCTGTTACCTTTACTAACCTCACTTCCAACTCACACATACTATGGAAGATAGTGTTTGAACACAAAAAGATTATTCTGTTCTTTAAAACACATTGCAGGGCAGATGCTCCATGGTAGAGGACCTGCCTAGCATGAGCCAGGCCCTAGGTTCAATTCACAGCCCAGAAAAAAAAGTTGTAATTGGTTTTATTTGGTATATCCATAACTTAATTTTCTTCCATAGAATTCTGATACCAGCATGAAAAGGCAAGCATAAGCAGCTTTAGAAATATATTTAAATGCAATTCTCTAGGCAAGACCTTCCCCAATAACTACACCATATCTTAGTAGTTAGTTAGTAGGCCACTTACACAGGGAAAGCTCAGTAGTTTTGACTATAGATTCATATATTTAACAAATTTTTATTGCTTACCAAGTATTAGACAGTGTTCTATGTTTTGTAGAGATAGCATTGTATAAAACAATTTGAAAAACAATCCCTGGCCTCACGGAATTTACACCAAAGGAGAAGATGATATTTTATAGTGTTTCCGGTGGTAAATACTGTAGAGAAAAACAACAGTAGGAAAGGCAATGGAGAATGCTAGTTGGTATATAAAATTTTCAAAGGGCTGCAGAAAAGGTCTTGCTGAGAAAGTTACATGTATGCAAATAAATGAAGGAGTTGGAAGAGTGAACCTTGGGTAGGAACAGATCTGGCAAAGGCCAAAGTAGTAGCTGGGCCTGGTATTTCCAGGAATACACAGGAACCTAGCAAGTGTGCAGATGTGTTAAGGGTGTGTGTGGTGGTTGACAAAGAGGTATGAGGAAACAGGCAGGCCTCTAAAAGGACTTAACTTTCACTCTTAAGTGAGAGGAAGCTTTGAGGGGATTTGAGTTGAGGTGTGACATGATTTGATGGCTGCTTTTTGGGGCATAGAAGAGGTAGAGAGAAAAGTTAGAGCTATTAAAATATCTGGGTAGTAGTAACTAGTTGGATTCTGGATATATTTTGAAGGTAGAACCATCAGGATTTGAAGATGTCAATATTAAATGATTAAATATGCCCTGATACTAATACTTGAAGATGAAAAACAGACCTTTTTAATTTTTTTAATTTTTTGGTAAACTGGGGTTTGAACTCAGGGCTTCATGCTTGCTAGGCAGGTACTCTACAGCTTGAGTCACACCTCCAGCTCACATCTGCCCCTTTTTTTAAAGGAGGAAAAGCATCCAACAAGGGGCTCAGACTGGATATCTCTAGAATCTAACAAAGAGGAAAATCTGGGTAAGGAGAAAGCAGGCTGTTTTATGTTTAATTTATATTTATCTTTTCCTTCTAAAAAGTTATCTTTTTGCAGTATGACTAATGGATGCCAATATTAGGTCTTTAAACACCATGCTATTTTTCACTAACTCAGAAAGTATCTTTCTGTCACTGCATGAATAAGGGCAATTAAAAATTAACAGCAATTTCAACCAAAATAAGAGCAAATATACAGTATCAAATTCTGTATTCTACAGTATCAATAAACTTAGCACTAAAAAGCATACACTACAGTTTTATTTTTAAGAAGTGGTTAGACATAGTTAATGTGCTTATCTGGCTTGCTAAATAATGTTTGAAATGAATGGCTTTTCAGTTTCTAAATTTTTCAGGCTTGATTATCTGTCACTTATATAAACAAAAACAATCAGAGAAATGCAAGTGATGGACCTAACCATAAATTATCTCTTAATTATTCCTTCCTTTCAGCCATTTCCCATTTCATTTAGACTCTGTGATATTAGCTCTGCTTGCTGAGGATACCTGAGTAGGACTGACTATAGGACGAACTCTTGATGTCCATAAAGTACACTATACTCTAAAAGGCCCTAGGGAGTGACACAAAGCAAGCCCTTGTAATGCTTTTTTATCCAGTACAATATGGCTAAAAGTACAAGAAATGAAAGCAGCATCCAAAGTTGAAGTACATTTTGTTTCCAATAATTTTTGGTTATTTAAACAACCTAAATGTATGAGAACACAGATTACATAATCTCTTACCTTCCTCTCATTCACTTTCATCAGAAGACTAAAGCAGACTTGTGGGTACCAACAAGCTCTTCCTTAACCACCATCAATTTGGGTTAAAAAAAATGCCTATCAGTCTCCCTAGCAATGCATGAAACTGGAGGATTTGGTTGAATAGAAGACAGAAATTGCAGCAGTGCTGGATGAAGGTGGTAGCCGTGGAGTTGATTACTTTAACCACCATGACAGCTACATGAGAATCTTAGCTTTCATTGAGAACATGGCAATTTTCCATGTTGACAATTTTCTAGAGAGAAATAGGAATGCTTTTTGAAGCATTCATTACTTATTGAGTGTCTGCTCTGCTCACCCCAGAATTGTAAGTATGATTAAGACATAGTCAAGCTCTTGAGGCATGCACAATTTAGTAGGCATGATAGAAATGTAAATATGCAATTAAAATGCAGGGTTGTAAGTGCTGTAATAAAGGTAAGTGAAGAGTGCAAAGGGAGCAAGAAGAAGGAAGCACATCATTCTGTTATTGTAGGACGGGAAGGAGAAGAGTAAGTGGAGAAGTTTTCCCAGTGTAGGTGACCGTTGGGATCTATAGTGATTGTACATTTCTACCACTATATTTAAAAGTGAAGAACAACCACACAGAAAGTGGACTTTAACGATTTATGACCAGGAATATTTAGTTTAAATCTATTCGTGTATTTTTTAATAAGGTCTCAAAACACAAAAACCTAGATGTGTAACATAGTTACTATAAAATAGATACTTAAAACTATTATTTTTAGGACTATGATATTTATCCATATTTTAGTTAAACATTAAAGGCTATTTATTTTCCAATGGACTTTTTAATAGAAAAAAAGTCTCCCAAGAAAATTAATATTAGAGACTCTTTTACCCTATATGGAAAACTAAATTTGTAACATTTCAAAGCATATGCTCTATTATCTCAATTCTTCTTTTGGTGTCACCTCTACAACAATAAAAATATCAGGATTGATTCTAGTGGGCATCTTCTCTGTCATTTTCAAAAGAGAGCTAACGATTCATTGGGATATGCTGACTAGCTAGTCCTCACTCTTAGGCCTTGTTCTTTGAAGTCACGACACTGACATGTTGATAAAGAATTGTGGGGAAATCTGCACTACTCCTCACTTGCTACCTGTTTTGTGGCAAGTGGACAACTTCAGTTTGTTCAAACTACTCATCTGAGCCTTAAAGTCACCCAAAACACAGTGCATGATATTCTTGCTCCTAAAATAGAGAGCAAATCCTGTTCTATCAGTGGTGGGCTTTGTCCAGGGACTTTTTGCTGCTGACAAGTGGCACAGTTTGCTGAATGTGATGTGTTATAAAAATGTGTTTAGGGGCACAGGGACTTACTGAACACCTCTTTGTTGCCATTTGTCTGAGAAACTGAGAAGACTTTCTGTAGCATGGAAAGCAATTCATGTACCTGTGTTGTGGGGTGCTTTTATTTGGGGCCTACCTTGCATACTTTAGGCTCTTTGGTTTAATTTCCTCAGTTGTCACAATTTGAAATGTCTATAGTTTAGTTTTTTAAAAAATTATTATCAAGGTTGCTGTTTGTCCTTTCTGCAAACTAGACTTTCAATTATAACATAATGATGTTATA